TACGTTGTTTTGCTAAAGTTAGTCATGTAGAGGCAGGTTTTTAAAAAAGAAATTTCTAGTTTGACTCAAAATAATATTAAGGATCCTTGAGAGAGCAATCAGGTTCATTTGTGTGTCCAAAATGCCAAAGTCATATTTGGTAATATAGGAATTAATGTTAAAAGATTTAAAATAAAATTTCAGAATTTTTAGCATTTCCATTTGACTTAAAAAAAAACCTTCAATTTGCTGAAATTCCCCACCTTTTTGTGCATGTTGTACACCTTTTCTGCCAGGTCATTACGTATATTAATCAGAGTTAATTTAAAGACAGATGTAGGCCTCTGCATCTGGGCTTTGTTGACTCTTTAATTCTTGACATTGGGTTATAGTTTCTTGATTTTTTTGATGTTTCTTTTCTTTTTTTAAATATAATTTTATTGATTTCAGAGAGAGGAAAAGAGAGAGAGAGGTAGAAGCATCCATGATGAGAGAGAATCGGCTGCCTCCTGCATGTCCCCTACTGGGGATTGAACCCACAACCCGGGCATGTGCCCTTGACCGGAATCAAACCCAGGACCCTTCAGTTTGTAGACTGACACTCTATCCACTGAGCCAAACGGGCTAGGGCGATTTTTTGGTGTTTTTTAATTTTTGGTAACTGACCTTTGCTGGTGACAGGAGGGCAGGAGGATCTCTAGCAGTAGACAGTTTTTGCCTTAGATCAGAGAAGGGTCATCAGGTGTAGGTGGGTCACCTCTTCCCTTCAGCAAATGACTTTTGCTTTGTATCTGAATAGGGCCCAGGGTACTTGCAGCTTTTGTTTATGTCTTCCATTGGCAGCTAATCACCACTTTTTCAACTCCAGTAGGGTGCAGGGCATGCATGGGCTTCTTGAGGTACTTCTGCCCCGTCCTCAAACCTTGGCACCTCTGTGCCACAGAGAGTGGCTCTCACATCTCTTTCACTGCCTTCACTCATCTCTCAAAGACCCAGTGGAAACCCATGGAAAAGAGCTGGCGACTGGGTGGGGACTCTCCTTGTGTGAGGCTCTGGGGGATTTGTGCTGTTAGCTCACACTTGGCCTTTAATGATTCATTCAACTCCTATGGTTTTCTTGCCAGCTTTTATGGCTGCCATCACCAAAGGAGAAGCAGTTTGGGTATTTTTTCTTTCATTAGAGGAACTTGTCACTGTTTAGAATTCATTTCACTTGGTTGGGCATGTGGAAAATATAGAGACTTCAGGTCAAAAAATAGATTCTGTAGTAGGTTAACAAGACTTTTTAAAAAAAATCTATACTAATAAGAGGGTAATACGCTAATTAGACTGGACATCTTCCGGACGTCCTTCCTGACAAAGCCACGGTGGCGGGGGCCAAGGCAGAGGTGGTTAGGGGCGATCAGGTCGGCAGGGGAGAGCAGTTAGGGGCAATCAGGGCGGCAGGCAGAGGCGGTTAGGGGCGATCAAGCAGGCAAGCAGTTAGGAGCCAGTGGTCCCGGATTGGCAGAGGGATGTCCGAGGGGTCCTGGATTGGAGAGGGTGCAGGCCAGATTTCATGCACCGGGTCTCTAGTAGAATCATAAGTGTGGGACTGATGTTCTCTCATGAATTTTCCCATTCTAAGTGGAGGAGGCACTTCACTGTTCTATTTTAATAACTTTATAATCACTGAATTTGATAAGTCAAGAAATTGTTAAATTTACAGAAAAAATTCACCTATAGTCTCAATACTAATGTTGAAATGTTAGTGTATTGTATTTTTACTGATTTCAGTATAATTGGCAGCTAAATTGTCACTACTGTCATGCAGTCAATGCCTTGTGTTGCATGGTAATTACTGCTCAACCTTTTCTTGAATTCTCTAGACTTCCTTCCCTTAGAGCTCCTCTTTCCTTTGAAGTGGACATTTCTAAATGCTGAACAGCTGCCAGAGCAGCTGTTTAAAGAATCCCCTGAAGTTCTCATTAAAAATATACCTTCTGGAAAGTTTTTGAGTCAGGACTTTGGAGTGTGGCAAAGGAATCTGTCATTTACAAATTCTTCAGACGATTTGGAGAGCTAAGAGTTGCAGTCTTTGAGAGTCACTGGGCTATCGAAGAACCATTGATCCCAAAGCTGGTCTGCTCTTAAGCTCGGAGTGGTGCCATCTTATGTTTAAGTATAGGACTGTGTTGTTGCTGAAGCTACTACTCACATATGCACCCCTTAAGTGTTCTGCGCTAGAAGTATCCAGGCAAACCTGGGCAACACAAACAGCAAATCACAGTTTAAGAATCTAATGAAGAGGGACTGATGAAATAGACAATGGTGTGTCCAGAGTTGCTAGAATTATGTTGTAGAAGTATACTTGACCTGGTAAGTGATGATATGTAGCTGAGTGATAGAAGCAGATTACAAAATAATGGAGTTCCACATTGGTTACACGCACTGACACAAGAATAGAAGAACATGTTAATGGTAATTATCTACCCAATGTTAGTAGTGGTTATTTTCCTATAACTGCATTTTTAACTTAAAAATTTTAGCGAACGTGCATTACTTCTGTAAAGATGGATGTTAGTGCCCTTGTAGTGTTTGTTAGATCCTTTTTCTTCCTTATCTCATTTTAACATGGAAAAGTCATTATTTAAAGAAAACAATGTTTTTGTGAACATAAAAGCACATAGTCTTATTTTTTCTGTTTCATTTTGGTGGGATGGAGATGGGGTGTAGGTAGAGGAGGGATATAAATAAGAAATTGTGGAACTTGTTTGCATTTTACATCTGTGGTGTCCAATTCGGTGGCCTTTAGCCATATGTAATAATTCAGAGTGTAAGAGTCCTGAGCCCAAAATATGTGAGAACCACAAGGATAAAACAATTTCCAAGGTACGTTTTTAGAACGATTGCAGGTCAGTGTGATTGTATGTTAGAATTTGTGTCAAAAAGGGGTATAAATGGGATACTTGTTTTTTTGTATATACATAAAATACTTCTGGAAGGATATAAAGGAATTAAGTGTTGGCTCAGTGAGGAAGGAGTGAAAGGTACGTTCTCTAAACCTTTTTGAACTCATTTGAATTTTAAACCAGATGACTGTATTACTCCTTAAAACAAATTTTAAAACACCCCTCCAACCATCCATGTTATACATTTCCGGGAATCTAGGTCTGTTAGGAAAAGTTGGAGCAAGTTTGGAGAAGCAGTTATTTTTCTGGCAGCTTGTTTTTTTCGTGTTTGAGAAGAAAATGAAGCTTGCTTGTTTCAAGGGTAAAAAATTTCATTTTATGTCCAAGCCAAATATATTCATGTTGAAATAACGCAAATCAAATAGGTAGCAGTTTTCCCAGTGGGGCCCAAAGTATACTGAATTTAAGTTTTAAGGACGAATCATTTGATTAGTTTTTAAAAATAGTTTTTTTTCTAGGTTCCTAGTAAAGAGATTAAATTTATTTTAGGAGATTGTTATAATTTATAGTCCTGTCATTTAAAAGGTTTTGAATAAGTGCTGCATGAAATGTGGAAGCTAAGTAAATGTTCTGACATTTGATTCAGTACAAAAAGTGCTTTTTATTACTCATAACCTTTGGGGATTCTTGAAAAGAATAGCTAAGGAATTCAATTTTTTTTATTCTGTCTGCTGTTAAGTATGGCTTTTGATCAATGTTCATGCTTTTAACTTTGAAATAGTGTCCTTTCATGGAAAGGGAAAATTATTTTAATGCAAAAACTCTTCAGATTTTTTTTCAAATAATACTTCTAAAATTTATATCTTTGAATACTGAAATACCATTTCTAGAGTTCTTTGAAGCACTTTAGAGAAAGGTACTGCATGTGTTTCTGTTCATTAGTTATAGTTAAAAGTTTGCCCATAATGTAGGACCATTTCCCCAGTTTCTTTAGTTAATAAGGAATGCTTTTAATAAGGTTAATGGGTTATTATGAAGTACTTGACAAATGGGTAGTTAATTCATTAAGTTTACTTATTAGTTGCATATGCATATATAATATTTGCACATGCAAATATAGCATATGCTTGTAATATTTACACAGTATTTTTTTTAAATCTAAGCACATCTTAGAAGTAGCATAATTAGTATTTTTTAATTTTATATGTATGGAAATTGAAATTCAGAGTACTAAATGCATTGTGTAATGTCATACAGCCTTGTTACAAAGTAAAATAATTTAGATTTTAAAAAGGCTAGGTTAGATTTCAACAAGTTAAGTAAAACTTTATTTAGATTTAAGTAAAGCTCTGTTCTTGCAAGACATGCCTTTTTGTATACCTACTATGTTCCAGGCTCTGTGGTCAGCACTGAATATATAAAGATAAGACATAAATCCTGCCCTCCTAGGACTTGGAAGTTTAGGGACAGTGGGAGAAGTGAATAAGTGTGATGGTGCCTTGTTGATAGGCCATATATCCCAGATATTTATGAGGAACTGATAAATCTTGAAGGATAACTAGAAGTAGCCAGGTGAATCTGTCGAGGGGGTGTGTTAAAGACTTTGTTCAAGTAGAAAATACTCAAGGAAGCCTGACAGCACACTGATACTTGGTAACTGCTAGTAGTTCCATATGTTTGCTGTGCTGGGCTGTGCAAGAGGAAGAGCAGAATATGAACAGAAGGAGGTAAACAGTGTGCCCTAAATTGGAAATGTGAACTTTTTTCTAAAGGTTGTAGGAATGAATGTAAGTAGATGGAAGGACTTAGATTGACCAAAGTTTGAGACTTAGCTCTTGGGCTTCTTAGCTGTGGGACCATAGTCAAGGGACTAAATATTTTGAGCCCCAGTTGCTTCATATGTAAAGTGGAAATAACATTCAATTTGCAGACAGTTAGGAAGACTAAGAAAATGTTAAAAAAAGCACTAGTGTGCACCAAACGTTTAAGTAGTCCATAATGGAAGCTGAATTAGGAGAGATCCCTATACATATTCTAAGCTTGTAAGAAGAGCCCTTTGCATTTTAGATGGTGATGGAAGGTCTTTAAACCTGTTTCCCAGAGTGGTCACATTTCTGTTCTTTCTCACAGGCCAGCCCTCCAGATGTCTATATTGAAAGATTTAACATAGCTCTTGGACAGTATATGGGAGCACTGCAGAGCATTGTGCCTCTTTTCATATACATGGTAAGTTAGAGCTTGGTTTACTGGTCTGAGTATCGAGAGGGAAGCATGTTCTATTTTTCTTTTACTATATGTTATGGTAGAAATGGAAAATAATCTATTTTAGGAATGTTGGATAGTGTTGGCATAGAAGAATTTTCCGTTTTAAAATTACATAAAAAACATTGCTATGTAGATAATTAGGCATTAATATCAGTAACCACCCAATTAGCATTTATTTTATTTCTGCCATAATGGAAGATATTGGAAAATAAATATGTATAAGAAAGATGTTTTATCCTCAGAAAAAAGAGAATTAAGACATGTATCTAAAATCATGAATGCCAAGTAAGTCATTCTATCAAAAAATAGAACAATAAAATTTGCTTCCATTCTGATGATCTCTTTCATTTGGAAAATTATGCCTTGAGTATAATTTGTAGTCTGTTGAATCTGTTGATTAGTCCTTCCCCTCTTTAAATATTTAAAGTTGTAGAATCTTAATGTTAGTGTTCCTATTGAATGGAGCGGCTCATTTTCTCAATGAGTAAAATCATTATCCCAATTCCTCTTTGTTTATTAGATTTAAGGTATGGGATGTTTAGGTTGGTCCTATTTTCTATAGCATAGAGATTGCATGTTTTATACCAGTCTTCAAAATTATTATTTACTCTCCATAAGATATACTTTACTGAAAAGAACAAAAACAAAAACAAAACACCACAAATTAACAACTAGAAAAAAACCCAAAACAGAACACTGGGAGGAGTTTCTATGATCAGCAGAGACTATTATTTAAGTAATTTATTGAAGATAATTACAGTTGAAAAATATGCAGTTAAAAATAACGACATGTCGCCCTAACTGGTTTGGTTCAGTGGATAGAGCGTCAACCTGCGGACTCAAGGGTCCCAGGTTTGATTCGGGTGAAGGGCAGTACCTTGGTTGCGGGCACATCCCCAGTAGGGAGTGTGCAGGAGGCAGCTGATTGATGTTTCTCTCTCATCGATGTTTCTAACTATCCCACTCCCTTCCTCTCTGTGAAAAATCAATAAAATACATTTAAAAAAAATAACATGTCCATGTTATTTTAGAGAAAAATCTTCCCTAAGAGACATTAGGTGACAAAGCAAGATACAAAGCAGTGTGTAATATTTCTCCATTAGCAAGTGTTTTCTTCTTTATTAGGGAAAAAAGTATATCCCCATGTTACGTAAGCCGTATTTTAGAAAGATTATACAAAGTGTCGTCCCTACTGTAGGACGGGACCTTTGGGAAGGGGACAGAGTGTCTGGCTGTGGGACAGTTGTTTTTCTTGTGTAACCTTTTGCATGGTTTTAATTTTTGACCATGTGCATATTATTTTTATAATTTTTTAAAGAGAAAAATAAAACTTGTGTTAAGAATTGCGAGCATCAGCACGTTGGTAGTGTTCCTCTTTTCATTTTCCATTCCTAGACATTGAGTTAACATTTACACAAGAACAAATTCAATCTTTTGTGACTTGTCAGTCATTCTAATCAGGATGCTCTTGCTGCCAGAAATAGAAGGCCTGATTCAAAGTGATTTAAATAGGGAAAGAATTAGCTTTTGTAATGATATCCAGATATAAGGCAGTCTTCAGGGTTGGCTGGATCTGTGGTTTAAGTGTCACAAAGGACTCAGGTTCTGTTTTCTTTCTTTTGTACACAACATCTTGAAACACACCATGTTCTCCTCATGGTGGTAAGATGACTGTAAGATACTTTTCCCTTGAGCCTGGGTTTCTCTCAGTTATTGGGCTATCTTGGGTCATGGGTCTATCTTTGAACCAGAGACCATCTCTAAGGAATGCCATAGGCTGAATGGCTAAGCATTGAATGGAGCGTATGTTGGGGAGTCAGCAGTGCACGTTCAATACCTGCTTTCAGCGTAGGTCACTAATAAATGGGGACCTTTCAAAAGGCATGGTAAGTGCTTGTCACACAGTGGTTCCATGTGTCTGTACATCATCTCTGTCTAGGACAGGTCGTGTCAGGTATCGCCCATGTTCTTTTGGAGGTGTATGGTTCATTGCATTTCATCTTTATGTGCTTTCACCCCCATGCCAGAAAGACACGTAAATAGGGCAGGGCTTTCTATCTGTTGTTTGATGTTGCATTTTTATGTTTTGCTTGATGCTTTTATGAATTGTTTTCTAAAATAATTTATTTTTAGTGTTTCAGTTTTAGACTGATCATTTCCCCTAATGATGCACTGAAAAGTAATTTATTTTCCCTTTCAGAATAAGTTTTACATCGAAACAAAACTTAACAGAGACTTAAAAGATGACCTTATAAAGCTGTTTACGGAACATGTTGCAGAAAAGCACATTTACAGCCTAATGCGTAAGTACTTTGGCTTATAGGGGTGAGATAACACTAGCAATGATATACATAATTTTTGATCAGAGAGCACTGGCACAGCAGAAGGTGTTGAAGCTCAGTTCTCTAGAGAGAGCCATGAGGAATTGAAAATGTGAGTTGAAGATCATCCAGTGAGCTGGAGCTGCTTGACCCCGTTGCTGGACAGTGCCTTCATATCTGGCCTGACACTTGCTACCTCTCCCCCTTCGGACAATGGAGTAAATATTATCAAAGGGTTCGCCCCTGACTTTGTTACTGGTAACTCTAGAAGGAGTTCGGTGTGATATCTTTGAGGTGTAGCACAGAATCCTCCCTGATTTTTACTCTTTAGTGCAAAAACCCTTCCCTCATCTGGCTCTGTCATTTTTTGTGTTTTTTTAAAAAAGTATGTATTTTTATTGATTTTAGAGATGAGAGAGAGAGAGAGAGAGAGAGACAGACAGAGACATGAATGATGAGAGAGAATCATTGATTGGCTGACTCCTGCACATCCCCACCTGGGGATCAAGCCCACAACCCAGGCATGTGCCCTGACTGGGAATCGAACCGTGACTTCCTGGTTCATAGGTCAATGCTCAACCACTGAGCCATTCTGGCCAGGCTAGAATTTCAGTTTTAAACATTATATTTTGAAAACATTTCCTATAGTGCTTAAATTTACATTTGTCTCTTTAAAATTTATCTATGCCATTCAAAATTATAACTGTCTACTGATGATAAAATTCAAAGGATAAACTTCAACAATGCACCTTTGGCCTTCATATAAATTCAGTGTAACTCACATCTGTTTGAAACTGTGAGGTCATTGTTGGCCAAGTGAGATGGCTTTTCCATTTTAAAAAAGGCAAGAACAGAAGGAAACAGCTTGTCCAATTTTACAACCCTGACATACAGTAAAATTATGCTATGTTTTATGGAGTATTTTGGTTAGTAAATTGCAGGTCTTAGACAAATTAAAAATGAACTGTTCTGTGTCAGGACTATCTTTTGTATCCACTAAATAATGGAATTTGTTTGTGTCTGTTAATGATGTTACCTAGAAGAATTATTTCTATCCATTTAAAAATGTTCTAATAAAATCTTTGTCCTGCAGTGGATAACCTGAAAGGAAACTGACTCTGTTGTCATGTTCAGTCAGGGTTGCATGGTTACTAGAGTTATGGAAGTGAGAAGGATGAGCAAGCGTGATCTCTCTTGCCATTACCTTTAGTTAAAAAAAAAAAAGTACATACAGCTGTAGCATTTGGGGAAGTACTGACTCTCTGAGTCAGTCTGACTCTGTGATTGTAGTTACTGAAATTACCAATAATATGTCTTTCAGGAAAATTCCAAGAGCCTCAACTATGGTAATTTGGGGGAAAGAGAAATGATTGAGAGAATTACAGAACACTTCATCCCCCAAGTGTAAATTTTTTGAATCAGGAACATAATAGGAAGCACTTTCAGCTTACTCACTAGGTACCATGAATACCAGTGCTTTTAGAAAGGTCTACTTGTTTCAGAACCTCCATGAGTTGAGTAATTTCCATTAGTATTTCAACAGACTTGTACATATTTACTTGTTAGATCGAGCTCTGTTGCATTGGATTTAAAAACAATCTTTAATGTATAAACTCTTGGTTTGTCCTATTGGGCCTTTCTTTTCTTGCACTTGCTTACTCTTCCATCTTTGGGAGAAATAGTAATAGAAAGAGAAACCTTGACAAGAAGTGTTACATTGTTTTTATATACCATTTTATCTTTTTATTTCAGCTTTACTTTTAGAAGCCCAGTCAACACCATTTCAGGTCACACCTTCAACTATGGCAAATATTGTGAAAGGCCTGTACACTCTCCGACCAGGTAAACTCATGCATCATTTCTTTTGGGGTTGGACTTGTTTGTGGTAGTTCCATGCCTACCCAGCAGGACAGTGTTGCTTCTCCCTGTGTTTTCTGAGGCCTAATGGTATTTGGATTGTTATGGCAAAAAATATTGAGTAGATACTCATCATTGTGAAATGTAAACTCAGGACTCAGTTGCAGTTATCTCTATTCTAGTGAAAGCCAACGCAAGTACAAGAAATAATTTGTAGGAGACACTTTAGATAAAATTGACTCTCCTGTCTGGCATTAATCTTTGTCTTTTTTGTTAGGGAGTTTCTCCTTTACTTCTGTCCCACACTACAGATACTATGCATAGACATATAAATTCATAACTCCATCTTCTTTGGCCTCTTACATAACTTGCAAGCAATCAGTTGGGGGTTTTAGAAGGTATTCCCCTGGGGAAAGAGGGACTACTTTAATTACCTTTTTGTGAAATTCTTTTATCGTTTGAAGATTCAATGAAATAAGACCTGATCTAAATTGTTTAACACAGTGCCTCATAGTATAATAAGCATACTAATATGAACTGTTATTACTATTCAGTGGTTGTTTTAATTGGTGGCTTGATTGTTTGCTTAATTTAAAAGATATGTCAGAATTTAGCTTGCTAAAAATGGAAACTTGGTGAAAATTATACTAGAGGTAGAGTATGATGGCAAATACTTCTTTCTACTTTAAACAGTTAGTGACTTCTACAGTATTCAAATTTAATGTTACTTAAATTTGACCAGGTCTTGCTCCATTCTCCATAATTTTTAAACAAATTACGTGTATAAAGTAATTATATATAAAGTAGCAAAAATATATTATTTCATGTGTCCAATAAACTGATGTTTTTCTTTTTGTAGTTTCTCAGAATTTTGAATTTCATTTCACTAAATGTGATGAAATGGCTCATGGATTTGTCCTTTAGCACTAGGTTATGAATGATTTATTTTATTTTAGTTTGGAAGGCATCCAAGTGCAGTTTGACAAATTTCTAAATTCTACTTCTTAGCTTTATCATAAAAGCTCTGGCTTTTAGCATGAGTAACAAGTTGCAGAATGAAAGTAATCACTATGGGTAGAAAGACTCATAGCTACATGTTCATCTAAATGCTATTTTATCTAAGTTTGAGCTCTTACAGGATTCATACTATTTATGAGGAGAATTCTGTATTTGAGAATTGTCCTTTTCAAAAGGTGAATTGTATCACAGACTAGCCTTTTGTAACCCTAGGCATTTTCTGAGATACAAGTAAACATATTTTGACATTTACATGTCTTGCCTATTGTGTTCATGGTTTATTTTATTATTTTTTAAAAATAATTCTTTATTGAAAATATTTGTTCCTGGTTTATTAAAGCAGTTTTATTCACCTAACAGATTAAGGTTAAAATATTTTAAAAGTGGAATTTTATCTATTTATTTATTCATTTTTGAGTTTTTAATTTATCTTTATTTTTTAAAGTATTACCGATGTTCCCTGCCCCCATTGACCCCCTTCCCAGGTCCTCACCGCACTATTGTCTGTGCCCATGGGTTATGCATATCCTATATAATAAAAGCCTAATATGCTAATGATATGCTAAGGCTGCTCAACCGCTCACTATGACGTGCACTGACCACCAGGGGGCAGATGCTCCAACTGGCAGGTTAGCTTGCTGCTGGGATCTGGCCAATTGGGACTGAGTGAGACTGGCCGTACATGCCCTGGAGCCCTCCTGTGTCCCTCCCCAGCCCCGATCATGCACTTTGTGGGGGTCCTTCGGCCTGGCCTGTGCCTTCTTGCAATCTGGGACACCTTGATCCCACAGGCCAAACCAAGGGACCCCACTGGTGCACGAATTTGTGCACTGGGCCTCTAATATGCATATAAGTTCTTTGGTTAATCTCTTCCTGCCCTCTTCCCCTTCCCTCTGAGAATCGTCAGTAAAAGTTGAATTTTAAATGTAAAAGTTTCTTTTACTACGGTGGTTCTCACATGCTGATCTTTGTATAATGAATGTATCTGGATCAACCAAGGAGGTTTTCTAAACTCTAGATTCCTGGGCCCTAATCCTTGGAGATTCTGATGACTATTATCATTTTAGGTGTGTTTTCATTTGGTCTTTAGAAGCTCAGCTTGAAAATAGTTGTAGCCATGCCATCCTGCCCTTCTGCATGTATACACACACTTTTGTTGTTGTTCATATATATTTTAATGACTACGTGGAGTTTCATAAAAGGGCAGGTCTGTTTGATTCCTGCCAGCTCACCCTGATTGGTTAGTGTTCCCCTGAGCACTGTATTGAGACTTTCTAAACCATGTTTGAGATAAGCTAGATGGAAGGAAATGGTTGAGAACATTTTGCCATGAGTTTGAACAAGGGATGAGTGGATTGACCCGTGTAATTTGTGGTCCTTATTTATTTGGTGTTTTTTTTTTTTTTTACCATCTCTAACTTGGCTGTTCTGTTGAATTTTTTACTTATCTGACTCAGCATTGCACAGCATTAGTGCAATTTTTTTCAAATTTAGAATTACATTTACTCAGATTATTATTTTTAAATTGAACTCACTGGAATAAATAGAGCTTTGACATTTTATGGTTCTTGAGGTACACAGCTAAGATGTTTTCCAAGAGGGAACATTTGAAGAGGTCAGATTAAAAGAACCCAAAAGGGTAACAATGCTCAGAGGGCCACCAGCAAGGAGCGCTGGTTTCATCACACCTGCTCCAGGTGCTCCTTATTTACAGTTAGAGTTCAGTGAGCAGTGGGAAGAGATTGTGTTTATTTTGAGTTTTTGTGAATATTAACAAGGCTTTTATTCTATTTTTTTTATTTGTAAATTATTTTCATTCCTGTCTTTCATTTATCTGGTCTTAACTGATTTGTAAAAATGCTCCATAATAAAAATATGAATTAATCACCAATGCAGATATTTCCTTAGGCTTCTCTATTGTCTATTTATTCTGAATGTTTTTCTTTAGATTGTTCTCTTGATCATTTATCTTTTTAAATAATTAAATAACAATACAATTATTTTCTTTTACTGTTTACATATATTTAATTTGCTGTATTTAGCATGGGTCAAATAGGTCTTTCTTCAAAAGTACTTACTAGTTATCTCCAGCCCACTTGTTAAATGTTGATTTCCCATCCATTTTTGTGGGCTTCTTTTTTATATGTCTACTTATTACTGTCTGCACAATTCTCTTCTTGGTCCAGTGTGCCATCTTTTATTTAATTAATTAATTAATTTATTTATTTATTTTATTGCTTAAAGTATTACAAAGGGTATTACATATGTGTCCTTTTTTTCCCCCTGCCCTTGACAATCCCCTGGCCTCCCCTATCCCCCAGTGTCTTATGTCCATTGGTTATGCTTATATGCATGCATACAAGTCCTTCGGTTGATCTCTTACCCCTCTCCCTCCTGCCCCCCAACCCTCCCCAGCCATCTTAACAAATGCTTTATAGGGCTAATTCCCACCAAGTCTCTTCCCTCCAATTGCCCCCCACTCAGAATTCTTAAGTTATCTTGTTCATGTTTTCCCTCACGTTTATAAGTTTTGATAAGGATCATTTAAAATTCTCTAGAGATTTTCATTAAATTTTGTTATAGTGGCAAAATGTAAAAACATCTGCTTTCTTTACACTGTAAATTCTTTTTAGAAAGGAAATTTAACCTCTTGTATGTTCTTTATCAGAATGGGATTGCACCTAAATTTGGTTTAATATATATTTAACTTAATTTGCCTCTATGATTTTGTTAATGAATTGTTTCCTTCCCTCACAGAGTGGGTTCAGATGGCTCCAACTCTATTTTCTAAATTTATTCCAAATATTCTCCCTCCGGCGGTGGAATCTGAACTTTCTGAATATGCTGCTCAAGATCAGAAACTTCAAAGAGAACTTATGCAGAATGGTTTTATGAGGCAAGTTTTTTCCCCTTTGTGACAAAATAACATCAGTTTCCTTAGGCCAGTTTGGCTTGGCAGGGGAGGGATGCCAAGGTTCTTAGACGGAAATAACTGTCTAAGAGTCAAGCTGTTCCCGGAAGAGGTAGGCTACCTACGTCTGTGGAATGTTGAGGCTGCGTTTTGATTTTATGGAAGCTGCTCTTCACTAAATGGATTTTGAAGAAGCTATTTCTCAGTGGGTGGGCAGTTAGCTGGCAGCCTCCAAGAGCTCTTCAAACTTTGATCCTCATATTAGTTCTGAACATTTGGAAAAGCATTATAGAAATTTTATGATCAGTTATAGGTACTTTTATGACTAAACTAGTGTAAAGAGGCTTTAGATTCTCTTTTTCTTATTTTCACTTTTGCCCTAAATTCTAGTTCTTCTTAAAAAAGAAGGTATCTCTTTAATGTTGCCGGATGTTTGCCTTCCTTGGTTTTAACATATACACGTCACTAATTTCTCTAAAATTTACAATTCCGTATCATGACTATAACCCAGAAAATCTTGCGAAGTGCATCTTTTCAACTAAAATAAATTATATAAAAACTTTGTGATTCCTATGGGAAAATACCCTATATGTCACCACATCACTGAAGGGTATCCTTATTCTTTACTTACATTTTTATTTATCTTCTTTTATTTGGATCCATGGCATTAAAGGAAGAAAGTTGTGGGAAGGAAGACAGCTGGTTCCCTCATTAGGCATAGTGGTGACCACACGTAGTAGTAAGTTGATCATTGAGGCCAAATTAAATCTCAGAATATTGGTCTTGACCAAGACCACTGTTACCAAGTCTGTGGTTTCAGCACAGGTTAGGAAATAAAGCAGATAATTTGTTGACCCAGGGATTGGCATTTCCCCCCATTTTGTCCTGGTGGCATCTATGCCCATATGGTAGTGGGGGCACTGAGTAACCACTGCCAGTTCTCACTGGAAAGGCTCCGTGAAGCTGTATGGCTAGATAGGCCTCTAAACACCACTTTCTTAGAGCAAGTTAGGGAAGGAAAGGCCAGTGGGAAATACTAGTAGAACGTAAACAGCTAGTTTCTCTCTCTGATGCTCAGTGGTTACCTGTTTCCTGACATTGACTGTAACATTTCTAACAGCAGTATTATTTTCATACACAGAATGAGGCCGTGTAATGCCATAGTAGTTTTACTTATTTTCAAAGAGCTAATATATTTGTGTGGTTCAAAAATCAAAATGAGAATAAAAAATACACACTGAGCGGTTTGTCCCCCCCTGTCTCCCTATCTACACCCACCCCATTAGGTAGTCATTTTTTAAAATTTCTTATGATTCCTTCCAGTGTTTTTCTTAATGTACAAAAAATATAAAATAGTTTTGATTTTTATTCATTTCTTACATGTTCGATTTTGTAACTGTACTCCAACTTATTTAACCAGTCCCCAGTAGATGGCCACTTGAATTATTTCCAGCCTTTTGCTATTACAGAGAATGCTGCAACGAATAGCCTTGTCCATGTATAATTCTATACCTGTTGCAGGTATATCTGGAGAGTAAATTTCCATAAGTGGGATTGCTGGGTCAAGAGTAAAAGCAGTTGTAATTTTGATTAATATTGCCAAATTGCCCTCCATAGGGGATTGTCTGTTTTGCATATGTACCAGCTGAGTTTGAAAGTGCCTGTTCTTCATGGCCTTGCATGTGAAGTATGTTGTTAAACTTTGGGATTTTTGCCAACCTCACAGGGTTGGTTTAACTTGCATTTCTTGTTAAGGGTGAGGGCTGAGCATAGTTTCATGTTTGTATTTCATTTTCTCTAAACTTCCTGTTCATGTCCTTTTTTCATTTTTCTATTTGATTATTAGTTGTTTTTTTCTCTGTTTCTAGAAGCTCTTTCTATAGTGAAAAGATTGATTCTTTGCCTGAGATAAGACTTTATTTTTTTGTTTGCCTTTTGATTTACTTATGATGCTGTTGTTTTTTTTTTAAATTTTAAGTTATGTAGAAGTTTTTATTTATTTTTGTGTAACTTTGTCAGGTTTTTTCTTTTTCTGGCTCATGTGTTTTGAATTCTAGTTTAAAGTTTTTCCTTACATATTTAAAAATAAATGCAGAATAGTCTGAGTGTACCTTTTATGTTCCCCTTTCTCCCCCCATAATATGTGGGGGGAAATCACCATAAATTTGAAGTCTTTTATGCTTATATTCATGTTTTATGTGAGTGTTTGCTTTTAATTTTAGAGATGAACTTATTGGTCTCTTTAACAAATAGCCTTCTGAAAACTTTTATCTCTGTGAACCAGTTTAGGAAGTAAGCTCTCGTGGACTTCTCTGAGCACCTTGAATTTACCTTTCCGCAGAGTGGGCAACTATTTAAACACATCCAGAGACATTTCCTAACCCTAATTTTGGAACTGGTATATGACAATAGGTTGCAGGACTGTAAAATTTGCTGGGGATGAGTAACTGACTCCACAAATAGCTTCATGGAACATTGCTCTTGTACATGGACTAACATGGCACTATTTGCCAAGGCCAAGTTGATCATATTCAGGGAAGTGCCTTGGAGTTGAGTTTGGATTTTTTGTTTCTCTTAGTGGAATTCTTTCATACACCTTCTGCCTGAAATTTTTAAATGTTAGTTTTCCAGAGGTGACAAAATTAAAATGCTTTATTTCACAGACTGAATTGGGCCATTTCTAGAATTAAGTTAGCAATTCGTTACATATTTACTATGAGAATTAAGGTTTGCCTCAAAAATTCTTCTGAGGAGTGCCTAGCACAGAGTAGGTAGGCCCTGCCCAAGCTCACCTTCTTGGACTCACTCCGCCCCACTGCTGCGCTGGCCCAGCCTGGCAGAAGGGATGTGCAGCGCCCTCCATGTAGCTGCTGGGAGGGAGTCTGCCTGCACTTCCAGCTCTTGTTCCACGTTTTGCCTCGCCAGCTGTGATGCCTTCCTTGATCAGTATTTGGCTAGAATTATTTTAGAAGAAATTGCACCCACCAATGCAAAAAAAACAATAACAAAAAACAAAGAATATAGTACAGGCTATCTTAACAAGAATTCTGTTGCTGGCTTTTCTGATGTGAGCAGTCATTTTATGGTTTATTAGAGGCTTGATACACAAAATTTGTGCAAGGGGCTCCGCCCATCGCAGCCCTGGCTGCCTCACGGCCCCTCAGCCCCACCCACTGGTCCTTCTGGAAGGTCATTCTGCCTTCTGGTCTAATTAGCATATTAGCTCTTTATAATATAGGATAGGATGCCTTATCAACCACGATTCCTGTTCAGCTTTGCAAACTATTTTTTCATTTAAGATTATGTTCCACTTACATGATGTACGGAGTCCTGAATAGGCAGTACACAGCTTTAATGTGGATGGCACAGAGTAAGTCTTTGAAATATTTCGAAATAATGTGTGAGTGTTGTAAATATATCCTCTTTTGCATTTAATGGGCAGATGCTCACTTGAGCTGGAGTTATGTGAAATATTCAGGTGCATGGAAATACAATGTGGACTTACTTCAAAGCTAGAATGAACGAATAAACTAAGAGCAACATTTTCTTTTTATCTGCTACCTGCATAATTGCACTGATGATTGTCAGGGAAGACCGATTGGTATCTGCTGTTGTCATATTGCTTTACAGAAGATAAGCTCATGTGGGAACATCTAACGTGCATGCCCCGAGATGGAGTATCTCATTCAAACCAGCCTGTGGTCCTCCTCAAAGTGGCTACTCAATAGCTTTTAAGGGCAAATAAGATGTTCTTTCTATCTGAAAGAACCAATCCAGTTGGTACCTGAATTTCTGAAACCAAGTAGAGCTTGGCAGGTAGGGGTACTGGTCTTTTAGCTGAGAGGTGACTCTAGATGGAACTTTTCCCTTCAGTAGAAGGGTCTGGTGTGGAGCGCAGCGTACAGCTTTCCTTGCTGCCGCATTAGATGTCTTCGGCAGCCTTTCCGCTACCTTTTTTCCTCCTGTCATTCTCACACCTGTGTTTCTCTCCTGTTACTTTCTGCATGTTCAGTTTTCATTTGGCGTTTGGGGGTTGGGAATGTGAGGTTCCAGATATGAAATTCTACATTTTCCTTTTGGTCAGCAATAATTGTTTGTTTCAAGACTATTTGGTGAATGCTGCTGTGACAATACCAGTGTAAATAGTAATGATGTAAGACACTCAGCTGCTTTGTATAGTGTTCACAACAGAGATCTTTGGAAAGTGGCATTAAAATATCTGTTTTCATGTCCTAACATGCAGAGTTCTCTAAGCTGCCTGAGGCTAGCTCATGCTAAACGTATGCACATTTTTCTCTCAGTGCTCAGCCGGGAGAAGAACAAGGGGCCTTCATGGCTCTCCTGCCCGTCATTAAGGCTTCTCACCCAGCCCCGCAGGAGGTCTTCTTTTCCTAGTCTTGAGCAAAAACCAGAGAAAGAAAATTGGAAATTATTTTTGCTTTTACAAAAGATCACTCTGGCTCTTGCCTGGACTAAGATTGTTGAGAAGCAGAAAATAATTAACTTGAGCTGGCATTTTAATAATCTGTAGAGGCTGTTTATGAATTATTTGCTCACTTGTTCAGCAGATACTTATTTCCTGCTGTGTGCTAGACACTGTTCTGGGTACTGGTGAACAAGGCAACAAAGTTCCTGTTTCTACAGAGTTTGTGCTTCAATGTAAGAGATAAATAATAAACATGGAAACAGTTTATTTCAAATAATAGTGTTATGAAGAAAATGAAACCGAGTGTGGGATAGAGAATGAGTGACCAGGGCATATGTGAGGGGCATTCCAGCTAACCTGGTAATGTCATGCCTTCCAGGGAGGAGACATTCCCGCTAGGGAAGAGGTGATCAGGAGCTAGCCATTGGCTGACTAGGGGAGAGTATTGCAGGCAGAGAAAATAGTCAGTACAACAGTGCTAACGTGTCTAAGGGGCAGAAAGAGAACCAGAGTGGCTGAAGTGACCAGAGCTCGGTAAGGAGGATAGAGAGGTAGACAGCAACCAGATCTCATAGGACTGGGAAAGTGAATGTGAATTGATTTTTAACTGTAATGGAAACCTACTGAAGGGCTTTAATCAGAGGCATGAAATAATTTTATGTATGCTTTTACATAAGATCACTCTGGCTCTTGTCTGGACTAGTAGAAAGACTTGCGGTTGTGTAGGGGAGAGATGATAGTGTCTTGGATTGGGGTTGTCGCTGTGGAGTAGATGAGTGTTGATTTGTTTTGGATTATGTTTCAAAAGAGGGA